ATTTTTTATATTAAAATTTTTATATTCATTATGACATTAATTGCGAAATTGTTTTTCTCTCGTTTGTTCTATCTTATGTATTCATCTGTTAATGGAATGTTTTTCAATGCAACAAATTTTCCACTTCTAATGTAGTTACACGACACTAATTTAATAATATGGAAAAATGATGAGAATGAGGACCTGTAATTCGTCATTGTCGCGAAGTATTTACGTTACGTTTGTGTCACTGCTTACGACGAATGTGCGCGTTGGGTTACGACTTTTTGCTTAAGGAATGTTCAAAGTGCAAAATGCTTCTCGTGCCGCGATGTGCTGAGTCTAGACATTCTTATGTATATTCGAAGCAATAATGATGCAAATGTGAAATGTTAGTTCGGAATAAGGCTGAATTGGCAAGTAGAAAATCAGCTTCGAGGCAGTTAGTTTTTTTTTTAATTGAAGTCGCTTCGCTTGAGCGGTCACGTTGTTTGTTGGAAAAGAAAGTTGAACATGAGTATGCCTACATGTATTAACATGTTTATCGACAAATTGCCACAAAAAAATAAAAAATTTTACTTGAGTAGTTTAATTATAACAAAGAGGAAAATAGGTCACTATAATTATGGTTACCTATCGAAAAGCATTTCACTTGAGCCTTGAGGTCCGATATTCTAAAAGTTTGTAATTTCTCGCGTATAATTTTTTGTGTATCCGCACTTAGATTGTCATAAATATGAAATATTATATTGCGTACAGAAGCAATTAAACATTCGTTTAACGATTCCCTACTATAATGTCTTCAGAGTTTAAGGTTAATTGGAGCGGCTCGCTCACATATTTATAATTGAAGATTAAAAACCTTTGCGACAAGAAGAAAGAGAAAGAAAATTACGAACCATAAATTACATTGCACCATTTATCGGATTGCAACATTATATATATTTTTATACATTGTATATTCGTAAAGCAATAAGTATCGTCTTATTTATAAAATAACCACGTAGAACCTGTTTGATGGCGAAAGTTGATTTAATCGACCGAGAGTAACATTGATAATTCACATAAATATATTGAATTTATATACATATTTTATAAAATTTGTGTGAATCTACATTTTATTTTAAATAGATTATATGAATACGCAAAAATATTTAAATACATTCTACGGCTATAGATTAATAATTAATTATCCTTTTCTACGCGAATAAACTTATAAATTTGTTCTTTCTTTAAATTATAATTTTCCAAATAAGGATTACTTCAATCAACTAAAAATTAATTGCGACAATTACTTGAGAATCTCAAGTTGAGATCCTTTTTACATTACATTAACTAATCGGATTCCTCATGTCTTTAATCATGAAGAGATCTCGCGCGCGGGAAAACACGCCGCGTTCAACATCCATTCGCCACGCGATTTCGCCGCGCGACTTTACTCGCGAGTGAACGCATAGTGCGCTGTGCATTACGCATACGCGTATAATCGTGCGTACGATTACGATGTTCATCGCCACCATCGTCGTCGGCGGTGGCGGCAGCGGCTTCGCTTATGGGATCGCGAAGTGAATCCTGAGACGCGTGACGAATCGCGCGACACCGTGTCATCGCGATACATCACGAGACGTGGGGAATACCGGCAGACAGTACGCGCTCTCTCTCTGGCACACATACACGCGCACACACGCACGCCGCGATATTTATTGTCGCAAACGGAAATAAAAATAATGCGAGTGTATATAAGGCATCGGCCGCCTGTGACATCAGCCCCTCAATCAATCCGTTTTGCATGATGATGCATGAAGCGCATTCGGCGAACGTCGCGCGAGGACATTTATCTGGGTGTGGACGCGCGGCGAACGTTGTCCATATAAATCCTTTCGCCAGCACCGTAGAATCTCGATTATCCGAGCGGTTTAACGGTTATACGTTCGATCGTTCGCATTAAGCTCAATCAAACATTTAATTCCGACTGTAGAGAAGAGACATACGTACATTAAAAGTATTGTACGAAATAAAAAAATGTTATCCATTTTCGATTATGATTCTTGTTGTATTTAATCGTAATGACGACATGTAAGCGGTCTTCGCGTTAAAATATACTTAATTTGAAAAGAGTTGAACGTTTAAACTTTATGCCGCCGTCAATTCAATTCACTGATTAAAGTAAAGATATAGCATCTTGTGACATTTTTTTTATTATTCCCACGTATACTTCTTCTTCTTAGAACTCGTATTGATGAAATGAATGCGCATCTTTCAAACGAGACTATTCCAGACCGCAATCGATTCATAACAAGGCTATCGATGATCCTATGCAAATGTTGCAGCGCGAAGGTCACGATTTTATTTTTCTTCTTGCAACTAGTTTCCTATTCGCGATTATTCGCGATTAGACGGTACATGTTTGTGAGTTTGAAAGTCAAATCTCAATTAACTAAAATGATGTCATTTGATCTAAAATTATAAGTTAATTTTATGAAAACGACGATTGACAAATTTGTTACGTTACTTATGCTTTTATCAGCTGACGTTAAAATATTGATAAAAAAAATATGCTATATTATAGATTAATTAATATTATATAGATTGTAAATTGGTTAATATATTAACATTATTTAATCTATGCTCATCAATTATGATAACAATATATTTAATAACCTACTTTTTAAATAATTTATTTTAAAAATTTTACCATAAACTTATCAATTTTGATCGTTTAAAAAAATTAAAAATTATAAACGAAATTAAACAATAACCATCAATAAATAATAAATTTTTGTTAATTATAATAAACGATTACGATTAATTTTTAAAATAGAAAATAGAATTTGAAAAATAGAAAATACATTTGTTCCATCTTCGTACAATTATCTATTTTATTATCTAATAATCTTCTTTTTTGCAGATTGATCTAATTTAAGCGCAATCGGTAAAGTTTACCGTACGATCCCGCTATTTAAACGCGACCGGTAAATTTTCTTGCGGGCAAACCACTTTAGTTCATTACTGTAATCAGGAACGAGTCGAGACAATAAATTCGCATAATCGCAAATGATTACCAGGTCTACCTACGACATTGCGCGTCGCTTAGATCCGCGTACATCACACACAGAGTGATCGAGAAAATTGCACGTCTTCTTTCGATTATATGTAAGCGCAAACCGAGACAAATTTATTTCAACTTTGAAGAATTGCGATTTCTATTTCTTTTATTGGATAAAGAAAAAAGAATAGTGATGCACTCGCCTGAGAAATTATCTGTTATTTCTAATAATCTTGCCAAAACGAATCTATGAAGATAACGCTAAGGGATTCTTAACGATGATATATCATTATGGACGAGAATGTATACCGGGGCCATCCCTATACATACGTTTACCATAGTAGCAATAACTGCGCCCTTGTCTCTCCACGATATATCGCGGTGGATCTCGCAGAGATTTGCTCGGAGAGAGACGAGCGGGCACAAAGGTCCCATGCAAATTGGGTCGGTGTGAAAAACCCGTAACACCATGAACGTAACTCGCAGAACTCGGGATATAACGCGCCCGTGATAAAATAGTATCCAACCGATCCGTGCGCGTTTCCATGTTTATAGCGAATCTGTATCGGAATATTACATTTGTCGAACATACACGATCACTGTACCGCATCTCGTACGCTTTAGCGTACTTGTGGACTTGTATCTGTCAGATCGATAAACATTTTCATTGTTATAACGTCTCTATTGTTACTTTACCGGAGAATCGCTGCTTTGAGTCTTTCTCATAACAAGAGGAGCGAAAAACAAGAGAACGTTTTTCTCTTAAGTTTTAGTTTACATGCAATTCTTATATCGAAATTTTTGTGGCGACAATTTATTTCAAAAAGTGTAATTGTTTTTAAAGAGATTCAATATTAATAAACATAGATATCTCAAATGCTATTGCAATTGATGGTTAACGCAAGCTGTTTCTCTTATTTAGATTTTGCATGTTTATTTTCATTAAATACGATAGAGAGCGCATCTCAATGAGAGAATTTTTGACTGCGCAAAGTGTTTCTAGATCGCGTTCGACTTTGGTTACCGTTTTGCAGCTATGTTTAGATCACGTTCAGCTGGCGACGATAAACTAGGTCGGATTAGCGCATTTTCTCGTGTGAGTTCTCCATCTTTTAACAAAAGAGAGAGACTGTTATCTTTTCTCATATAGTTCCTAATTGTCGGAGATTTATTCGATTTTGCCAGGCGTCAAACATGAAAATATTATAATAATTAATGTTTTATTAGAAATTGCATGTAATATCATTTAATATTATTAAATGTTATTATATTGAAACACAAACAGCGCACATTTATTATTTATTGGAATATCTGTAATTTAATTATAACTATTGTAACTATTCTTCTGACATTCTTGAATGTAAATAAATACTATATCCAATTAATTAAAACTCGTCATTGTGACCAATACATTTATTTGTATTACATATCGAAATTTATATATGTATAATAATTTGAATACCAGGCTATAAAGTTACATACAACAATATGTCGCAGCGCGATCTAATCAGCGAACTGCCAAATTCGTCGTGATTAACGTGGCATTAAAATCAAATAATGATAATTAATGTTACTTCTATGATAAAAGAAAATATTCTACCTCAATATTCATTTTGTTTTCTAAATTATTTCAAAGTGAATTTTACTGTCCGACTGACCAGAGCGTCTTTCGCCAAGCACACAAGTTGCCCGAATAACTTGAATGCCATGTAACCGGATTTCGCAGATAAATGGATTTTCCGCATACACAGCATTGCGTCGCGTTACGCACGTTTCATCTCACGGTGATTAAATTACATTTGCATTACCTCGACATCAACTGTTATATATCCATACGCGCTGGCATGCACTATTCAAAATTGTAGGTAAACATTGAAACAATTAAACAATCAAAGCGCGATCGTTCCGATATATTGCCGATATACAAATTATTTTATTTCCCGTACAAATAACGCATCTCTTTAACTTTATTCAGATGGGGCGACTACTCATATGGATGCACTTCTTGCTGCTAATCGTCCTGTTAGCATCGGTGCAGAAAGCTGCAGCATGCAGCTGTGCGCAGGCCCATCCGCAAACCAAATTTTGTGAATCGGATTTTGGTACGATAGTGATTTCATGATCAATAATATCTTTCGGCTCTTGATATCATAAATATGGTATATAACGCAAAAATTGTAATTTCATTATCTTTTATCTATTGTAAAATAAATATATATTATAAATATATTTTAAATATTATAAATAAATATTGATTCTCGTATTTAATTCTCGTCAATATGACAATATTTTAATGACAGCAATATTAATATTCAATTTTGTGTAATAATTGTAAGTTTTACTTTAATATTTTAGATAAATGTAGCACAATTTTTCTGTAAAATCACGCGACTCTTACGTTTCTGTAAAATTACGCCGCTATAAATAACAGCGAAAATCACTTTCCTCTTTGTGAAAGACGTCGGCCACGGTTAATGACATTCTTTTGTCGCAGTCGTGGTGGTGAGGGTGAAAAAGGTTCTCCCCGTGAGCGACTATGAGATCGCTTACAAGGTCAAGATAAACAGGGTGTTCAAGGTACGTATTATGTGCCGGTGAGACGTCTCACGCGCGACGCGCGGAGAGGCCCGTTCGTCGTGTACATCGCGAAATGCAATCTATATAGGCTTAACCGTACGCCTCTGCTTCTTCCTCCCGCAGTCGAACCCGCAGGCCGACATGGCATTGATGCAGAACCTTTTACGGACACCGTCCTCGGACTCGATGTGCGGAGTGACGCTGAACGTCTCCGATACGTACGTTGTAAACGGAAGAATCGTCTCAGGGAAAGCGCTCATATCGGTCTGCGGACTCTCGATAAAATGGTCCGAAACGACCACCAGGCAACGCAAGGGATTGAGACAGCTCTATCAGCAGGGCTGCGTGTGTGACGTAAGTGCCGGATTATTTTGTCTGTTGCCGTTTCGAATGTATATTCTCTCAATTGTTAATTTCTTAATGTCGAAGGATATGTGTATTAGTATGAAAACTTTAACGCACGCGCGCGAAATAGTATCACAAGTTTTTTGTGCCAGTAGGCGGCAATGCTTTAGAATTTTATTATTGAAGATTTTTATCGTATATAATAATCGTGATAATGTTTCTTTTTTTCTCATGATATATAACGTTGCTTGATTGCAGCTATTTTTCCATGATTATAATCAAATTTATTATACATTTGAAAATTAAAGAAGGAAAAATGGTTTAAAATTTAATGAAGGTTATTACTATAATAATCACGATAACATTGCTCTCTTCTCATATATAACGTCATTTGATTATAGCTATTTTTCCATGATTATAATCTTCATTATACATATGAAAATTAAAGAGGTAAAAATTTTTTAATAAATTCATTGGCTCGAAATACGAATTCTATCTGGCTGGAAACAGAGACTTATAAATCATACGCAAAGTCAAATATTTTTTCAACCGATTCCGCGAAGCCAACGCAGCTCACCGAGCAAAAGGTTCAAGGCAATGAATCACACACGGTGTAAATCTCGATTTTATACAGTCGAGAATGCTTCTCAAAAATGGAGTGTCCTAAAAATACATATCCGCGACGAGAGAGAAAGCTGCACACGCGCGGATATCCGCGCATTTGTTCAATCACGGCTGACTTTTGCGTGACGCGAGTTTACGCGGCTAAGAATACGAGAGGAAGGGCGCGAGAAAAAAATGGCCTGGTTTTTGTATCGCAGATTCTGTACACACACTGGTGGCGCAAGGGCGCCGTGCTGGAGTCCAGCGGCGGGAAGAATTGCCTGTGGGAAAGCACACCAGGCCCCCAGGACTGCCAAGAAAAATACGGCGTGTGCATGCCAACGGCCAGCGGCTGCTCCTGGACTCCCTCGGTCCCGTACAAGAATTGCATCAAGGAATACCAGCGTAAACGCGAGCAGCAAAGGTCGCGGGAACCTTAATTGACACTTTCGCATAATATCGTGCCTCTTCGTGTCCCCGTATGCGAGACGGGAAGCGACGACGGAATTTATCGATTGTAAAACGACGCGGCGTGTCTGCCAAACAATTTGATGACGGACGCACCGCGGCGCGTGATCGAGTCACCGAGAGGCGCTGCGGTGTTGCCTTGGTAATTTAATGGAAAGCTGCATATTTGCAGCACCGTGAAAATGCAGCGAGAGACCCGAATCCGCTACTATATATTGCATGGAATAATTGAGTAACACGATAGCACATACATTAATGGGTTACCGCATATACACATGGATGCGCGAGGCAAAGAAGTCCCCGGTTTTTTTTCCACAGTTTCATTTATCATTAAAAGCATAATAATACTCTGCGGTTTTATAAACTGCCTTTATACTTTCAGTAGTATCTTCGAATAAAATCGGATTTATTTCATAGTGACAATGTGTTAGAAATCTTTGAAGCTGAAAAGTAGACAAATAAGCTTGTAGCTCGTTACTTGTGAGGTCATTAACGATTGATTTTCATGCTTTTTTAATACAGATTTTGATATAGAAACGATTATAACGAGGAATCGATGCTATGCAGTTACGACTACGGAATCGCCTATTGTTCGTTAAATTATTCGTGACTTCAGTTCGATAGCAATAAGCTTGGCTAATTTTCTCTTACAATTAGTTCATAATGGCAGTTTCACTCGTTTAACATTGTGACTATAACGCAAACAGAAAAAGTATTAATTAATTGGTATAGGTCTGCCTGACTTTGTGGTGCAACCGGTCTTTAATTATTCGATTATTGTTAACGAAGGGGTAAGTTTGCATCGCTTAGGTATATTTTGAAACGCGTGAATATGCATTTCATCGCTGAAATATATATGAGTGACCTACTTTAACGATTATTCTCTCTCTCTCTTAACAAGTTGTATATATTATATATTGTTAATATATATTATGTATCGTTAAATTATTCCACTTATCGTTTCGCGTTGTATGTAGTCTTAGCCGTCGTTACAAATGCACTCGTATTTTAATGCGTTTCACGTAATATTTTACGTGCATTTTTAGATCTAAATTAGATTGTAATACTTTGCGTATACATATTTGCCGTTACATAGATCATTATTCATGATCCGTAAACTGTTTAATAAAATGAGAACACTGAGTATCTGCGAATCTATAGCCTTACATATAACCTTCTACACACAAATGAAGAAGGTTTTGCTGTTGCATTGTAAGTGCGTTCATTGTTTTCACTTCTATCATTGTTGCATGCGATAACATAGTTTCGCGTTAAATAGAAGCAGTTTATGTGAATCGAAATTTAGTATAAAATATTACAAAAACAAAATACTAAAAATGTATATGTATGCGCACTTTTGAACGAAAAGAAACGAATTTTTTTACCTATAACTTAGTTTAGCTTTTAAATGTGGTACTTTTGTAAGTGTTATATGTGACATGTAGAATAAAAATAAAAGAAAACAGTTGTTTTTATAAAAGCATGCCCTGATTATATTACGCCATATATTGGTCTGATTTACCCGGTAATTGCTTGTTTTCTTTTGTTAGAAGAACACGAAGAAGTGAAAATTTTTTAATAAACGTATATCGATCGATTTTACTCACCATTTCGCGATGATTGGGGTAATAACTCTGTTCGATCAGGGGGAAGTTGTCTTTACCTAAACGACGCTGTAGTCCTAGCAGGTGAGCAAATACCCAAGGTTTGTCCTATTTCATAGAACAAAGTAGCAATTATTGAAGGTTTACTATATATGCTGTAGATGTAAGAAAGGTATATATAAAACAAAATCGATACAGGTGAAGGGTCTCACATACAACATATAAATTAAATTAAATTAAATTAAATTTTTATCGTATTAAATTAAATTAAATAAATTAAATTTTTATCGTTATTCTGTTTGACTTTTTAAATATAGATTACATTTTAAAATGTTTAATGTTAGTAAGAATAAAATTCCGATATAATTAATTTGATATATGCATTTAAATATACAGTTATGTATGAATAATATATAAAATTATACTTGTTAAAGATTTTTACTTATTTGCAAACTAAAATATAATATTCTTAATAAATTTTGTTTTCTTTATTACGTTTTGTAAATGATTGCTAGAGAATTTATAAAGTACATAATTCTATCGCGATACATTACCTGAAAATTGTAAATTGCTGTAAGATTATTAACGCTGGGTACACCGCCATACATCAGACCAAGAAGAATATTCTTGTAATCTTCTCCAGCATCTCGCAGATTTTGACGTATCAATACGAAATCAGGTTTGAAAGATCTGATAACAGATAACGAATAAGTAGGCTCTACATATCCGTTGCTCAATATTGAATTAATATTTTAAACAAAAGTTTTATTGTCTGTAGACATCGTCATCACATTTGTCATTCTATTTATAAATTTTGTATGCATTATATGCAATATAAATTTTAAAATCATTATTTTAACCTATTTTTCGATATTAATTAATTTAGTATGGTGAAGTCTAAGATGCAAAGGAATTAAATATTCAATTATTTAAATTAGTTTTAGTTTGATGTAGAGAATTGCTAAAATGGGATGTAGAGAAACGCAATTCTCATTCCGAACTTTATCTCACCGAATAACTTTGGTCCCGTTACGATAGACAGCCATGGACACGACGGTGCCCGCCTCGCTTGCCGTCAGGGACAGTTCTCGAAATTCCGCCTGCTCCACCCGGATCTCATAATCGCCGTGCAGTCTGCGCCCCCGGAAGTATTTGCTCCAGTCGGTGTTCTGGTCATCGATCACCAGCAGAGTGAAGCATCGGTCCTTGCTGTATGACGAGCCTCTGGTCGCGCCAGATACCGCCGCTCCCAAAATAGAAGCACCCTACGCATCATTTTAACTGTCACATACCATGACATTCTCGCCTTGCAATATAGTAACCGATCAAACGGAAGATTGATTAATTAAGCACCCTGTAAATGACACGAAGAATGCTTTTGAGAAAGCCAAATTTAAAGGTTTTGCTTAAAAAAAAAAACCGTAACTAATCGCGAGATATTAAAAGAGTTATTTTGTGATACTTATATTTAATCAGAATTATTAATAACTAATTAATTATTAATAACTCTATTGCTTGCCCGCAGTTGCAATAATCAATGAAACTATTAATCAATGAAACTTTTCGTTGTATTAAAGCTGATTTGTATCAGACAGGAAGTGTCAGATAAATGTATGTAGATAAGGGGGATGGAAATGAAGCCAACTTGCCTGATCGCGGGCGGCGCCGGTTAAGCTCTGTACCCGCTGGAGCAAACTCTCCCGTGTCTTCGCCGGCGAGGATGGTGCGCTGGTGGTCCGCGAGCCGGGTCTCAGGTTGAGACTGAGATCGCCACCGATGGGCTGCGGCGGTCCCTGGGGCGGCGCGCCCGGGATCGGCGGGGCGGCCGGCGGCGGTATCGGGCCCGGCTGGGACTGCAGGGGTCGGTCCGACACCGCTTGATACGGCTGAGACGAGTCCCGACCCACGGTGGCCAGCCCAGGATCCGCGTTGGGCTCATCGTCGAGTTCCGAACTCAGGTCCCCTGACGAGAACCTGGAAGACAAGCTATGGTGTTCGTCGTGACAGTGACAATCGGTCGGCAGGCCCGCGCGCTGACGCTGTCGTGTCTGACTGCACGTTGAACGACGTCTAAATGCACATCGATCACAGTCATTCGAGTGCTGATGCAATGAGGAGCGCATGGAGATGACGTCGGCGATGAAGTTGGACCGATCGCTAATCGGCCGGCGCTGCATGCGTGTCTTATGTCTATTTCGGTTGCCGGCGTTTCAGTTCAGTCAGAAGTAACATATACTTCTTTCTTTTTTTTTCCTATCCATTAGAGGTAGCATTCTCTTTTCCGCTCAAACGAACGGAGCGTTTGTGTTGCGCGTTGAATGAAATGAGCACCTAAACGCGAATAATGGAACGGGACATCCGCACGAAAAACACGGCGTTGCGCATTTACGTCATCATCGATTTACACTACCGAGAGCGTGTGTACGGTTACTCATAAGTAACGGCCAGATTTACGTCATAAATAAAAGCAAAAGAGATGAAAGACACGATATCGCTGATGGGGGTGGAGAGGTGGCGTTATGCTAACGTTGCCGTGTGCAAAGCAACGTTAGCGCGATGGCTTGATACCGTAGCGTGCGTCCAGGCTGCTGCATTTGGGGCAATGCTGGAAGCGGTATTTTTAAACGAGCCGCATGCATACATCCATATTTGCCGAACACGAAAAAACTTGGAATTATTAATAAGAACATTAAGATTCTTGCGCTTGGATTCTCCGTCGATAATTTAGCATGATATTCTCGGATAAGTAAGGGTTCCCAAATCTGCATATGATCTTTTTTGATATTTAAAAGAATTTAATTATCTTCCCTTTTCTATTAACAGCATTAATTTTACAGAATTAATTTTAAAGGATCAAACTTTCGATACTGTAAATATAAAAAAAATAAAGAAAAATTCTTATTATATTAACACTATATTTTTTTATATATACTTTATATATACTTATAAATAAATATAAAGCATTTTATTAAGGGTCGAGTATTTTTGTATTTATTGTATACAACATACGAGTTTAACGAAATTCAAATCCTCGCAAATTACTCGTCACCCTACAGTGTAGGAATTTCTTTGCATTGAATTTCAGTAATTTTCAACACCGTAACTTTGACATGCTGTCGCTTGCTTAATGGCCGACTCAGATGAGTACTTATGCCCGTCTAATTAGACTGAGCAATCTATTTTCTCTTCGCGGACGCTCTCTTATGGGAGCCGGCGCGGAATATTGAGACACCACGCGCATTGTTTTAACGGCCGATCATTATCGTACACACGCCCGTGTGTACGTAAATTAACTCCGTGTCTCGTAAAAGCAGAATTCAACCCGGCAATGTGTGATACGTGAGCTTTCATCGGGTGTGCCTTTTCAACAACGTATTCACTCCGCGAGCGGCAGGTATAGAAGCGACGTGTTTCGATCGAAATGTTTCCACGCCGGATTTTAATTATAGGAATCTCTGGACCTCGTCCGATAACAGAATACGACCGGTAATTACGTTAAAAGCGCATTAAACTCGCAATATAATCAGAGTATAGAGCGCTATTCGCAATTATAAATTATTGCTTACACTTGTGCGCAGTAAACGAGAGAGAGCAATAAGACCCTAAGTCCCTAAGTCACGTAGATTACTTATTTTATATCCGCAAACCTCTCCTATATAAGAGATTTGTATCGTCTTAAGTTCATTACCGATCATCCCAAGCGTTCGAGAAATATTCCACAGAATCAATCCTGGGAGATCGGCAGATGCTCGCGGCAATACAATTATATTCCGCTCCATGCAGATTCAAGATTCGGGCTGACATTTTTCCAAACAAGCATGCGTCAATAAAAATTACGGAAGATATGCGGAAGATGACTTTATAATCTTCCGGGTAAATGTAAACGTGTATACAGCGCCGTAGGCTGGTTAGATCCACGAAAATAACAGGCGCCGAGATTAAATGTTCAGCCCCGTACAGTCCGCATCTGACCGCGGCGACTCACCTCCGTTTCAGGTAGTTGACATTGGAGGTGAAGGACTGACGAAAACTGGAGAATGAAATGTTGCCGGGTGATGGAGCTGTACCACAGTACTTGGCGCAACCGCCGCGGCCGGTAATCTTGATGGTTACACCGAGCTCGCTGCTGCGATAAAACGGCTCCCGGTTTCGTCGCTCGGACCGTTAGCGATCTGCAGGATAACCCGTTTCAGTTGTCAGCCGTTGGCGACGGGTCCTTGCACTGCAGCCGCCGATTCGACAAGTCGTCGCGACGCGCGAAATGGGTCGTTTCGTTGTGGGTCGTGTCGCTGGATCCCAGATCGATGAGCGGGTTCTCTCTCTCTTTCTCTCTCTCTCTCTCTCTCTCTCTCTCTGCTTAATGCGTCGCGGGATAAACTTCAACGTAAGGTAACCCGAAAGGAAAGGATGAAATAAGAGGAGGTGAGGAAGGAGAAAATAAACAATCCAAGTTGAAATCTGCAAGTAAAAGAAAGAACTTTAAGTACCGAGTAATTGTGTAAGTTGTAATTATAGAGTTTTTATTCGCATAAACGAGACTATAATTATCTAATTAGTTACATTGCTCGCGGATGCGCATCGTATAAACCATGAAATGTAGCATTTAAATATATTGATTATTATTGGTCAATAAATTTTAATATTTGAAAAAATAAACATACATATCTACAATTTTCAATATATATTTTAGAACAATTTAGCAACCATCAAAATTTGTTAACTTTTATTTCTATATTATATAATATTCTGTGATTTTTCGAATTCTAAAAGATAATATTTAAATGTATCTGATATTCCAATATATCTGATATTCAGGTTCTTTACAACGCTAAGAAGTTTCCTTTTGATTCAAGTGATGATTTAAAAGAGATGACCTATTTCTGCTATGAAAGATACACTTTTATTGTGCAAGACATATCTTTTCGTAATTGGGTTCTCGGGTGTATCGGAAACAGTGAGCTAAGATCATAAAACTAACTCATGTTCCTATTACTTTCTTTATGTCAAGCTTTGTGAATGCTTGTGCGCATTATTACGATAATAAAAGCTGCGTCAAAAACAACAAGATTTATTTTTTTTTTATGAAAGATTCAGACCAGACACTTGCAGAAATATGAAAGGATTCCAATAAAAGTTTATATAATAAGAACGGAAAAAAAAGATAAAGCAACTCTTGCAATAATATAATTTATTACAGGTATAATTATATATATCATTAAAAAAATAATCCTGTTTTAAATTTTCTAAAAATTTTATGATAAAAAAATGGTTAATCTTGAATCTGTCGCTGGCCACAAGAGCACTTCGAAATCACGTATTATGCATTAAGGGGGAAGAAATTATGGATGTAACCGGTGCGACCAATGACTCGTGATATAAGGCTCGCGAAAATCGATAGTTGGGGCGCGATTTTGCTTGGAATTTCTGAAATGCTTCACGGCATCGCACGAGTACTTATGTACACCGGTATTTACGTATTCTTGGAACACACTCGCGGCACGGAAACGCTACTTGTATGGCTTGCTTTGCCGATCGTATCACCGGGTAGAGTGCACCTTTTCTCGAAGAGCTCGCGGGATAATTCTATGCTCGTCGCGGGAAAAGAAGCGTCGAGGAAGCAATGATACATTCCGACCGTTCATATTTCTTTCGTACCTCTCCTGATAATAAGGACGCCCACGATTCGCGGAACTGCAGGCAAAGTTCGCGTGTAATCTTCTACTTTCTCGGTGTATTCGCTGCTCTGTGTGAAGGAAAACTTCGCGATTCGATTTGACGATTCAAACAAACAAACGGCAACGGCTTACCACGTCAACCGCAACAGATGTTGCACATCAATTTAACAATAAGAGCAAAAAGCCGTTCTTTTGTACATCAAAACATTTCGTAACGTTATTACGTAACGTCAAAGTTTTTTAAAATTTGGTCGATTCAAACGCTACAAAAGTATGTGATGCAAGTATTTTTAAACAAAGTTTAACTAAATCAAAGTTTGAAGGAACAAGATATTTAAGAACATACAATGAGTGATGAGTTTACATCAAGATCTTGCGAAGGGAAAATTCTAAATTTATCATAGAGCTTGCAGCCTGAATGGATATCTGGGTCGTAGGCATTCCGTATTTCATTCCGAGGCTATTCTTTGAAGTCTTAATTCAAGTCTTTGGCTATTTTATGATATTATACAGTGATCTCAGCTGCTTTGCCTTCGCGTTTTGTTGCTTGAGGAGACGAATTCGAATCGCGCGAGCATATAATTTTATGTAAAATTACAGGGGGGAGAAATATGAATTAAATGAAAAATAAGTTTATCTCCACTTATAATAATTTCCACGTGATAGCATTTCGCAAGTTTCATTATAGTATAATACTTTGCATAGAATTATCCTTGCGCCCCGAATAGCACCTTATAGCTATTAGACCGCGAAGTGGTAAACGAGTTATAGAGCTATTACGTGTTGATGAGTTACGCCCGTGGATGCAGCTTATCAAGGATTTTACACGCACAATACCGTTGCATCGAATTCCTATAATAACTATGTTACGTACAATTAACAGAGTTACAACAATAGTCTCTCTCTAGTACGTTAATAAATGATAAGTTACCTGATACAAAGTTTTGCAAAGTTAATTGTGTAAATTGAGATTATGACAATGTTTTAGTTATAAACTGAAATAGGTCTAGATTGAGATATATAACTATTATTCTATTCTGAAATATATGGGAAAAAATGGATAAATGTAAAAAAAAAGAAGTAGATCATGTAAAAAATAATACAATACTGATCTTAAAGTTAAGTACTGATTGAAAGTAAGAATAATTTTTATTCATTTATGTTTTATAATAGCGCTAAATAAAAATATAATGTAATAATAATTTTCTATAACTTTAATGTTAAAATTACTCAACGTTAGCAAATAGGTCGCTGTGTAATTTTGTAGACACTAATAGGTAATTGCAGGTAGTAATGCCGATTGTACGGATAATTACAGCTTGATCCTATTCCGACATATTCAAACCACCATTAAATTACAGATGGTGTAAGAATCGATATATCCGGCTTATCTGAGTTCTGTCCAATTGGACAAACGTCGAAATTTAATGACAACTGACTTATCAAGCGAGAATAATCATGTAACACACTCCTGCAGATATAATTATAAAATATAATTGGAGCAACATATATATCCTGATCTGCATTAAATTAGAAGAGCATATTAATTGAAATCTTGCCGCAGCAATAATGTAAGCATCAGTGTGGATAAACGTCACGGATGTATGTTAATAACACATTAAATATCTCGAAATATTCGCATTAAATTTAGCGCAAATATCACTCTGTGTGCCACTGTTATGAATTATATATTACGTATTCCCGTAATTCCAAATGCAGTGGAATATGGATATTGTACCCAGTGATGTTTGAATTCACGTAATTATAAAGATTAAATCGCGTTTAAAAGATTGCTCCGTTCCGCCTGTTTTAATCTCTTGCTTTAATCTGACTCACATTGGAATCTTAATGAAATTTCTGCACAGTATCTTTCGATATATCTAACATATTTTGTCCAGTTTACGATAAAATAAATGTTACAAGAAATTGCGTAACAAAGCAATCCGCCGATCCGTGTATGATATTTTAGAGTTCAAAGATGCAGCCGCTGTAAGTATTGAATTTTTATTTAAGTATTTTTCAAGACTAATCGATAAGCTCTTGTTGAAAAATAGATGAGTCAGGTTTTCCTTTATTAACGTTTTTAGATCGCGCTCGTTGTGTATCGCAATTGACATTTAGATACAGACAGAGTGTTGCGCGTGCAAGATTAACGTTCGAATTCGTTAATTAAATTGGTCAACTTTAATCTGATCGATTCTCAGCCCCCTCTCTAAGGACAGAAAATTCTAGCTTGAGAAAACGTCTCTTGATTCAGTTCCTATTATATCGCGATTCATGATCTGAATCCACGATGTTAAAAATGATTACTTTTACCTACTTTTATTGCAAAGATGAATTTACGTGCACTAGTGCTAGAACCAATAAAAAGTAGGTAGAACCCCTAAAAGAATATGTTTAAGCGCATAAAGAGAGACAAGAGGCGCTATCGCACAAAAGAATATTCTCGTTTATGCGCTCATCGTTAAGATCCATCTCAACGGCCATGACTAAAACTTCCTAAGAAGAAGCCGCTTTTATTAACGTCAACGACAAAAGAAAACACGCGAAGAGATGCACCGGAGCTTGAACGTAAAATAAAATTCGTCTCTCTCTCTCTCTCTCTCTTTCTGAATGAAAAAAAAAAATCAATGAAGATGCCGCTTTGTAAAACGCACGTATTCGCCATTATTTTTTCGTAGCTCTCCGTAGCTCACTGTGTCACCCCTGCTAAAATTATCGCATTCGTTTCTCGTTTCCCCGGCTATCCCGACTATTTATGACTGAGCATCGATTGTACCCCGTCCGACCGAGAGACCGGAATCTTGCGCAATGGACGTAAATCCGAAAAGCTGCACTTGCGTGTCAAAATATACACCCCTCATTCAGGCAGATAACGATCCCATTTATCAACGACCGCCCACACACGTCGCCTGTCCTCGCCGTCAATACGCGCGCGGCGGGTAATCTTACCTCGGCGATCTCGCTACGCGCAAAGACGTTAATACGAGCTTGCACGCTCGATAAGGCGATTCGCTCGGACACTCTCGGTTTGCGCCGATTCGTTATCGTTACAATGCCCGCGCGCGACGTATGTACGTTATTATTCCAACTACGGCGTTACTCCGGCGGCGTTTGTCTGCGCGTCCCGTCTCATCGACAGCCTTATCGAGCGACTATCGTGAGAGCGACGTTGAAACTACCCCGAGAGAGGCATCGAAACTACCCCGCTTCGTCGAAGACAGCCGTCACGTGAAGGTGGTGCGCGCCACCAGCCTGTCGCCTTGCGTACTCCACCGGAACCGGCAAAGTGATTTTTACGAAAAGGCGTGTTCCGAGGAAATCGCGATTTCAAACGGTAGACGCCGTACTCCCCCGATCCGGCTATAGGTCGACCCTCTCACGTGTGTTTCACATTGGAATTGACAATCTCGCTTGACGTGCGACTCTCGAAACTACGGTCACTTACCTGTGTCGCGTGCGTGTACTACCCACTAGTTTGCCGATGAAGCAGTGAGGCTCGGCGGTGAATCGCGAGGGTGTCGCCCGGAGGGCTAACCTGGTCGATACGCCGGCGCCTGCGCAACCCCTTATCATCTACCGACCCCTCGCGTCCCTCGATGGTGGGAGGAGGGGGGAGGCTCCCTCGCGCAACCCGTCGCGGCGGACGACTCCGCGCGGAGAAGAATGACGAGGGTGGAGGGGGGAGGGGGAGGGAGGGGAAGGGTACAAAAAAAAGGAAGCAGCCCTCGCTTGCCCGTTGGTATTTGTGCGAGATTGTTCGGTGCATGTCAAACACGGTCCGCCTACTTGCCGACTGGAGATGAAACTTGCTTTTATACCTTGCTCTCGAACCCTCCCGGCGAATGCGACATTCGTGCCATTAGGAGCCACCCCGAGAAACGAGAGGGCGATTTTTGTGGCGGAAACTGTTATTATTGTTATTATTTTTGAAAGCTCGCAAAACGGGCTCGACTCGACGAATGGCATTTCTTTTTCAAAGCGAGGCGAAAATCAAACTCACGGGAACTCACTCGCGCGACTGTTTGACGGGATTGAATACACAACCCCCGCACGTTATTAAGAAACGCGGAATTTGACGTCCCCTGTGAGATTCTATCGGCGCGATGTTATATGAAGCTGTACTTAAGGAGAAATCCATCAGCAACAATAACCTCTTCGCGATATTGATGTTCCTCTCGGAGTTCTTATTGAAAAGTTTCTTATTGAAAAAGTCGACACGGGGGACTAGGCCGAACTTGCATTATTAAGAAGTGTCTTCTAAATAAAAGATAATTCAATTTATTTCACGCAAGTAAAAGTTAATATAATAAGCGAGCAAAAGTAAGTAATTGAAAGATGCTTGCAGATATCTTTTTTAGACATGTTTGTGCAATATTCTATAATGATCTATTGTTCGTCTAGATTGTACAATTATTACAAGATAGTCAACATTATTTTACATACAATATGTGTAACTGTGCTCGTATTTTTGTCATAAAGCTCATCAATAAGAGGACTATATTTGGCGATGAAGAATATGTGTCAAGGCGATGTCATCAAGAATATAAAATTTTTATAAATTTGTTATGAGATCTTTACGGATAAGGCGAGGAGGTCCTACATAACGCGTTCACACCATTTGCATTTAAAGAAGCGTAACCAAGAACTCTCGTACGTTTCAAGGAAACTTCAATCGATACGCGACAAAGTTCTTCCTCAAACCTCTCGACGAATTCGCTGGATGTATATACATGAAAGAGCAGTTAGAAGACTTTGAACTGTCAAACTTCTTGTCTCGTTGCCAATAATCCGATAAAAGATACACCGCAGATATAAAATAACGTTGCGATATAAATTCACTGTACTTCTTTAAATCAGTATAGAAGTAACAAATTCTCTCCATGTCCAAAGATGACATCTAAATACAACAACGTTAACAAAATGTTAAAATTAATTAAAAGATTACGCAATGAAAATTGGAACGAGAAAAAAAAATATACACAGAATTATTATTTTAAAAAACGTAAAACGTTTTTATAATTGTTTTTATTTTAGAAATAGAAAAATATTAAGTAAAAACAAATTAAATATAAATCAATAGAACAAAGAAGGAGTATAAACGCCTCACAAGATGTTTGTGCACGAAAATATTTATACAAACTAAATTAAATGTAAATATAAATATAAATTCAAGCGTACATTACGACAAATTGAGTTATCTTCAGCGCTATTGAAACTAAAATTCTAATAGGAAATACGTCAATTTTAACAGTAATAGATAGTTATAAAAGATACACAACAAATATAGATTATTTAAAAACAAATTTACAGTTAATTAAATTCATTGTCAGGAAATTGTGTATTCAGTCAGTGATGTTGGTTAATATGTTGTGATAATTCGAAGGAAAAGTCGTTCAATATTATATTAAAGTACGAGAGTTGTCAGTTTTATTGATTCTAATCACGTTACCGTATCATGTTATATGCTTACTGTCGTTAATAAAAACTGAAAAGCATCAAACAATTTTTATCAAAAACTAAAAAAGAAAAAGTCAAACCAAGAGATAAAAAATATATTATAATAGCAACAAAATTATTATTATGATAAAATAATTTAAACTATTCAACGTTTTGCTGTTAATTAAATATAGAACAATCAATGTCATGAAATTGATAATTAAAACAACGTGTATTTCTATCTGTGCTAAAAGAACCAAATATGATACATGTTCATCTTTGATGTCAGAGAGAAACATTAATTATAATCAACATTTCGCAGCTATTGATATATGTCCACGTATAAATGATGTCGCTTCAATTTCAAGTCTACAATGTCTGTCATCGCAGATCAAGATATATCGCATATTACTCGCGAATGATCATGTACCGCCGCTTCTATTGTCTATTATGCCAAGTCTTTGTCTGCACTGTGTGACGTCTTAAGCTTTGATGAGAACTCTCAAAGAACTCACGAAGGCGACACGTATGACATCGCGAATAATAAATCGAACGCATATTGAAACTTGTCCCAGAATACCACAGCGCAGATTCTTTAAAGGAAGCCTAGTGTTATCTTCGAAACTGATAGACGCATCAAAGATCCGCATGTCTCCTTTAATCACGATAGAGAAGGTCGAATCGAACCAGTCTAGGGCTGCACGGGGTCGTTCATTATAATTTTTGAATTTCTCCGAACCGGTTTCAGTAGTTGTTGCCAGTAGTATACGGACGTTATATGTTGTTTCGTTTTTTTCGTCGTTTCTGACGTTTTTGAATTATAGATATTCGAATTTTATTATCCTAAATTTGTATAATTTATATTTAGTCAATCAGTACGTAAATATTCGAAAAAAGATCTAAAGAAAAATAAAATAACATATGTATATATGAAAATATTTTAACTTAAATAATATTATTAAAATAATGACGAAATAAACGGCTTAAGTATTATAAATAAATAGCGGAGAAGGAGTATAAAACGCCTCGCTGAATTATATGCGCAAAATTATTTATAAGTCAAAATTAAAATGTATATAAATTACAAATAAACGTCGATCTACCATTGAATTATCATATGATGTAAACCCAGATAGCATATTATATATTTTTTAATTTTGATTTATAAATAATTTTGCGCACATAATCTAGCGAGGCGTTTTATACTTTTTCTCTATTATTTATTTATATTTAAGCTGTTTATCTTGCCATTATTTTAATAATTATTTAACTCAGATAGCACGTTATCGTACAAATATCAAGCTAAAAATGTGTTGCACCTATATAATATGAATGATAGTCGAAATTAATTAAAACCAAATTAAAATCAGGTATCCTTCTCTGTCAGTTAATTAAATAATTAATTAAATAAACATTAATTGTGTGTTTTTGCCTCAAAAGTTCTCGAGACACAAAACAATTATATATAGCTAGACTATAATAAATAAACTTAATATTAAATTATTAATTTTTTAATCATTGTATCATTATTTTATAATTTTCAAAAATTGCTAAGCGTAATTTAATTAACAACAGAATTTCCGAATATTTATGAACAAACCGCAAAAATTATAGCAAACGCAAAGCGGTACGAATTTTTAGATAATTTAAGTTATTAAATGTTATTATTAGCATGATCTTTTTCTATTGTTTATGACGTTACTTAATTATCTTGACAGATAATTGTCAGATAATTATCTAAAAATGCTGATACATTGTTTGCTCTGGTGTTACTACCACCAAGCTAACTTACAATTAATATAGCGCTAATTGTAAGCCTAACTTAGCACCAAGCTAAGTGCCTCGCAGATACATCAGAAATCGCGGTTGCCAACCACTTGCTTGCCCCGTACCGTCCTCTCACGACGGTACCAGCAACCATCCAGCAGGTACACCGAATCCGGAGACATGAATGCCCGCATCGCGTATACCAGCGAGTCGGATGAAGAGGGAATGGCCACTACGGCCACCTCCATCCCCACCAGAGAGCACCGAACATCTGAGCGTCCCTCCGGACTCTCCGGAGTAGCTCGGCGAGCGCAGTCATTATTGCGCCAGTCTAACACCCGCCAGCGATCTTCCTCGTCGCGGCCGTGCCGTACTTTCCCAAGCCGATTTCCGAGACCACTTTGCGGTACCAACGCGTCAGCAAGGGCGTGCGTGCGAGAGGAGAACGGCCTCGTGTGGCACGCCTCGTGGTCACCTCGCGAGCGCGCTGACTATACGCGTCACGGTACCTCGGCGGTATACGATGAGACTCTTCTCGGGGAACGAGGAAAATGTGACGTGAGAGACTGGCCTTCGGCGGGTCCTTCGGCGAGTGCGCGACACGCTCTGCGACGCAGTCAGTACGCGCGGGCGCGGGTCATCCTGCAAAATGACCGTCGCGATGAGGAGGTTGCTGCCGACGGCGGCGGCGGTGTGCTGTTGGCTCCTGGCGCTCAGTGTTGCCCAGGTAAGTACGAGGAACTGTTATCCCGAGACGAGAATTCCGAGTCGTTTTTAAACGCGCCGGAAACCGCGCGTTTTGTATGCGGATGTGCTGTCAAACAATTTCCGCGGGAAACCCAGCTGTATTGAATAACTCGGATTAAAAAACAAACCTTGTTACGGATTTTGGAGCACTGACATATGATATTAAAAAAAAAGTACATAAACATATATAAATTTTGTACTTCATTAAAAATGGTTTTAAGACCATGTAATGTTCTGGAAAATAAATAATAACGTCACGAGATAAAGAGAACATCTCTTCTACATTTCGTGTACAATAATAATTTAATAAATCTTATCTCCTTATTTATCTTAATTTTTAATTATGAAAAATTAAAACGTAGCTAGTATTCTTTTTGATAGCATCTCGACCGCGTGAAGAGTTCAGTGCTCAGGATATGTATTATGACATGACCGCGAAGTTTGATCTGCCGGAATGATTACTGTCATTCAAACATCCGGATTCCTGAAGCTGAAGTATTTTAAAGTGTTTCCAGGTTTTCTCACAACTCTCTCTCTCTTCTTTTCTTTCTCTCTTAATTTGTTATTAATTTAAAATTAAATTTTCCTTAAATTTTATTTGTAATGTGTATATTATTATACATTTTTCTTTTATATATTTAAATTAAAATTTCTCTTTCTTGCTAAAATCAAGTTTTGATACAAATTAACTAAAAACTCAAGAAATTTGTTACAGAATATTTCTATGACTATATTTATAACTTATTAATAAATTACGTTTACATCTTATTGCTAAAATAATTGATTGTAGAATATAAAAAACGTTTATAAATAAAAGAAGTAATCAATTTTTTATATAAATTTTTTACTTAAAAAAATGCCATTTTATTTTCTTGATTTATTGAAGTCTTTATTTTATAACATGATATTAATGTAAAATCAAGAGTGATGAATGTAATTATAAATAACAAATGCAGGCTTAATAAATGAAAGGTAAGCAATACCCTCAGCGCATACATATTAATTAGTTCAACGGAGATAAAGACTGCTTGATTATAATACTCAAACGAACAGGGCTGATACTGCAGTAAAGTATCGAATGATTAAATATCTGGAGAGAAATTTTAAAAATCATTTCATGATTTGATAAGCTCGTACCGTCTCCGTTATTTATCTTCTTCTTGTTTGCTCGCTTTGCTAATGTGCATAATGTTCAACGTAGAAAGAAAATCATAAATGCATAAATCATCAAACAAAAAACGGCATTCTACAGCGCTGTGCTATGCTGACTCAAATTACATGCAACCGCGATATATCAGCAATGAATATGCAAAATCAATTTATATTTTTCGTATAGTTGCATATATTATTCATAAACTATAGACATACAATCGAAAAAGAAGCGAAAATTAGCATTTATGATACTTGAAATATATATATGAATGTACATATATATATAAAATATTGAATATTACATATATTATAATAAACTTTATAGATATATAATATACATATAATAATAATTATATATAAATATATATATATATGTAAAGTTTAGAGATCTCATTAAAAAATATACATATGTGTATGAGCATATTATATATATAAGGTATAATATTTTTCTTACGTTTTGGAATGCATTTTTGCCTTTATGCCTTATTATAGAGCTGATAAGGAATTTCAGAGGACACATCCAAATTAAAATACCTAAGATTATGTTATTGCTTTACACATTTTTATCGATATTGTACTTAGTAGATGAAGAAAAAAGAGAGAGAGAAAGAGACGAAGAAAAACACGAATTAAATATCCGTACGGACGTCACGTTCTTCGGCGATTTCCATCGCGTGCGATTATATCGCAAACGAATCTCTGTGCTTAATGTATATATTTACGGCTATACCATCCCTAACTTATTACATACAGCATTAGCAAGACTGCTAATTGCTTCCCGCAATCTTTATAAGAATGCGTTATATATAGCTTGATCATTACGGAAGTAGCCGAATAATACATATTATATGCTACAGATATTTTAACATTCATTCATTTTCTCTTATATATTATTTATTACATCTTTTTGTTTGCTGTTTCTTACACCCCATTGACACTTTCTGATAAAGCGTTTCGTTGAGATCACTTGTACGTGCGAAGGGAACAATTTGCATTAAAATAGGTGAATTTTTCTCGGCTTTTCGAACGGCGGAGTTACATATCTCTCTTGAGACGGCTGAACAAGCCACAGTAATGGATGCAAACTAGTTTCTCGATTTCATCGTCGTGCAACAAAAATATCGCGGCAAGAAAAATTGCGATAACGTGAAAGTTGCTATTGCTCGAAAGCGGCGGAGTCCTTCAGTCGCGATTTTACGATCACGCGAAAATTTGTCTGACACACAAATCCTTGAAAATATATATTTTGTAGAATAAATTCATCATTTTGTATTATTTTGTTCTTTGATTTAAACAAATTATGAAGTAAAGCATTGTGAAACAAAGAAAAAACAAGATTTAGAGAAATAAAAATTAACATATTTTTACTTTACGCACATAATATGTATTACTTCTCTTTAAAATATATCTTTTACACAGCTACATAATTTTAATATCACTTCCTCATCTTTGCCAAATTGAGAATAAATGATTTTGCCATCAATTCGAGAAAGCGTTGAAAGGTTAACGCTCCGCGCCGTTCAACTCCTTCGCTCGTTCCGAAATGTATCACGGGACGAAAAGTTCCAGGCCTCGGGGTCCGTCTATTACGAGGAGGAATGCACTGGGTCCGCCGCGTGCAACACGTGTGTAAGCGCGTGTGCGTGCAACACGTGCGAGAGATGCGACCAGCCCCTGGCTCGACACAGCCGCGCCGCGCGCGCGCGAGCGCGCTCTCGCGCGGTCCCAGGCGCGCTTTATATAGTTAATCAAAAAATGTAATTAACGAGAGAAGCCGCTCCCGCTTCATGGGCGGTATCCGCATTGTTTATCGCGCATCTCACTGATTACCATTTGTTATCACTAACGTCGCGACCTTTAAGCAGATCTTAACCCCCTCGTTCCAGGCTAGCGCGCGGCGAACCGATCCCCGAGATTCCACTTCGCTCAAAACGGAAATGAAACAAATGTACGCTGCAATGTTGCGCGTTTACTGCGCATTTATTTCGTCCGCGCAATTCGCCGCGTGTTTTTGAGCGAAGGAACGAATTTAATATTTCCACCGGGCAACGGTGCAAATTAGGCTAACAAGCCGGAGTCGTCTTGAAGCGAGCCATGAAACGAACAAATGAGAATCGGGGGACTGTTAATTAGCTGATTTTACTCTGGCGAATGTATACTTCATGTTTTCCTCAGCAATAATCATAGTTAATTTATATTCCTTTTCATCCGCCCTTTATGTGCCATTTCGAACGAAGGATAAATTTTTTAAATACCTTCTCTAATTTAAATTTAGTCTGACATTGTTTCAATACAATTCACGTATGGCTAAATGATTTAGTTGCAGACTTTATTATTCTTCTCGGCGTGAATTCTACAACGAATGAATTAAAAAAATAATAATAAAAATAAATTTAAATTGAAAGGATAAAAATAAAGAATAAAAAAATAATATTTGAATTTAAATAACAAAAATCATCAATATGATGTCCGCCACGTTTATTTAACGCTGACAAATGGAGAATCACTGGCAATAGTAGATTCGAGAATTTTAATTACAAAGAGCGCATCTCGAGAAACGCGCCCGCGAATTAATTGAGAATACGTGTATGCGAGTCTCCGCGTGAACTTTTCCCTTTCCGAAGTGTCCCTGTGAACAGCCGAGCCAGGGGACATTACGTCGTCGGGCCCCCTCCCGCCCCCTACCCCTAATAGTAGGCGGCCTTATTGAGCGCGCGGCCTTACTCCGCATTGCTCCGCACAGCCGCGCTCTTATACGCTACCGTATTAATATTTATGAGGTCCCCTATGGCACTCTACGGCAAGATAGTGCGTCCTATATATATACATATGGTATGTAAGCGACGCGAGAAAGTGATAAATTCGGACCATTGCATAACTGGCCAAACACACAAACACACGCACGCACGTAGACGTCGCCTTACGTAAGCCGTGGCTGCGTCATATCGGAGAAAACGAAAGAAATATTCTCCACGAGCGTTCAATGGTGCATTATGTTAACTCATCATTTTCTCCACGCTATTGATTGTAAATCGGATTGTGGGTAGAAGGAATTTATGACAGCCCGTGCGTATAACTTTGCGCAACTATTGTAAACTAAATAAACTGAATGGCTACAGTAAAGTGGAAAGATGTTATTCGCGTTTACGAACAAAGAAAATACCACACGGATCCCAGCTGCATTCCTTCGTATTCTCGCATCAATTTCGAGTAGATAAAAAAAAAAATGTTGGAGAGCCGACGTTAAGAATTGTATTACATGCAGAAACCATTATTTTCATATTAATATCGATGTTTTATCGTAAGTCAATTGAGAAAGATCTTTTTTCTACATCCAGAATGCTTTCATCTGTTATACGCAAGTAAGAATCGCTGCACGAGAACATTACTGGCTGCCGCTGGCAGTCTACATTGCCGTCGTCGGTTCTAAGCTATAGTACCGGAGCGTCTGATCTTTGACATTGTAGAATTGCTACGTTGCGGCGGTTATTTTAGCTTCATTCTTGTATCACGTGAGCGAGATGTAACGTGGGCTCTTGACATGCGTGAGCAACGTCGGATGATCTAGTCATAAACGTAGCTCCTCAATGACGACGCATCGAGCGCGGCGCGCAAGGTAAAATCAACCTAGATTATTTAATTCATGCTCGCCTTGTGCAGCAGCGGACATGCCTGCGGTTTCGCCACGCACACACTTACACACACACACACACACACGCCGTGTGTCCCCCGAGTGCATCGATCACGCGTAGAAAATCTCTTCCCCGCGATCCTTGCGGCCTTGTATAAACGCACGCGATCGCGAGAGCCTTAAACGCACGCCGCGCG